CTAATAAATCTAGGGGACTTCAGTATCTGCCAACATTATTGGTGAGGCCGTTATACACTTATAATGCTTTAAAAATGCTTGCAGCATTCTATAAATGACCAGTAGTTTAACAGCACTCATCAAGAATTTAGCTAGTTAGAAAATAGTCTAGGTTTAAAAAGTCTCTGATGTAATAGCTGTGAGAAAAGATTTCTCTGTGCAATTATACTAGGTGTTGTCTTTTATCAGATTAGCTTTGTGTTTAATTGGCACAATGTTCATTATTGTAATGTTACCACTATCTAACAATTGCGCTGTTATAATAGATTATCATGTTTTATAACCAGGACTTTAATACACTCTTGGCAAAAAGGGTTCCAATATATAGTACTTATGTAATATACTACTAAATAGTATAGTTCTTTAACAATAGCATAACCATTTTAGTGCTGTATAGAATCATCTGTATACAACTGGCTTTTCATCATAGATAAAGAATCCTTTGACCATTGAAAGAACCATTTATGCATTCACATGATTCCTTGTGTGTTCACAGTTCAATATAATAACCATTGCCTTTATCAAATAACACTCAAAGAAACCCCTTTTTAAAAGTGTAGTTTAGGGATGGTCGATAAGGGAAAAATATTATGTTACAGTACTTAAAGACGTTCACATACGCATTTCATGTCATGATATTTTGGCACAAATACACTAGTAATGCCACATTTAAAAACTTATTTAAAAACCTCTTTGTACAGTCATGTTTTACAAACTGCACCAAATTTAAATCCATTATACTTTTTGTGATGAGGCATGCAGAGTTCATTAAGTACTGACAAAATCCACGACATGCTTAGAAAAGCATATTGTTTACAATAATAACAAAATTTATCACAATGAACATGAAATATTGATATATTGCCCACCTCTAGTGTAGTTTGAAATGCTAATGTTTGACATGTTGTACGTGTTGTGTGTAATGTAACCTGATGATATGTTATTTTTGACAAATTGTTGCTTTGAGTTTAACAAAGTTTAGCTTTGCCTCAGAGGCTGAGGTGCCCAGATTTAGTTGAAGAGATTCCATTAATCAAGGCCTTCAGGAGCATCTGGATGTTAGAACCAAGTGTGGGAACTAAACTCTCCAGGGTGATAGATCTCTATGACCAGAGTTGACCACCCCTGCTCAAGGGTACTGTGAATTAAACCACCTAAGGCTTGAATGTAGCATAAAAATGCATCATTGTATTGTAATTTTTTAATTTTATAATTGATTAGAGCTGCAAAAAAAAACCCAAATATTTTGATAGTCAAGTAGTCATGTGAGTTAATTGATTAATAAACGATTAATCAGCTTACATGTGATTTGTAAATGTTTAGATGTGTAAATGTTTGGGAATATTCTGAAATTTCTGAACATGTTCTAAGGTTCTGTTTACCAAGAACTAAATTACCACCACAGGAAAAGAACATGTGACACTTGTTCAATCTTGCCCGTTACAGTAAGTAATAAGCATAAGCTAAGAATAAGTGATATAATAATAAATATGTAGATTAACGTTATAGCTTTTTAGACTGCAGCATCATTTAAGAGATTTTTGCTATTTGTGAATAGGTTTCCAGGATGAGCAGATGGCATTTTTTTGAGTTACTTTTTAAGCTAATGTATGGAATTAGCTAGCTAATGTATATAACGCTGTGACAGGATGAGCTGCTGAATGTTCAGTAGTTTTTTAAACTAGCCTACTAAACACTTCTAATTAACAGACACTTCTGTGTTAGTATGTTCCAGTGACGTTAGTAACATTAGTAATGTAACATGATGAGCTTTAGTGATGTTTGTAAGGGTAACACTAGCTTGATCTGACAAATCACTTAAAGTGTGAACTGCGTAGCTTCGTTTGTCAGAACACAGCCATAATTGTTCTTTTTCTTTTGCTATCTGCTCAAATAGGTACGACACTGTAAGTGAATTGCTGCCCTCTTCAGGTTAAATCATTAACTCACTCTAGGGCGCCACTTTGAAAATGTAAATAGAAAATTGACAACAGTTTTTGATGATGATTTTTATTGTTGACATTATTAATGTCAAATGATTGTTTAATTATAATATATTCAAATAATATTCAGTAAAGTATGCAGTCATTTTTACTACCACACAAAGGGTAATAAAACAATAACAGTCAGATCTCATCAATCTTCATAACTGTTTATGGAAAAATGTTACTCTCCTCTGACCTATTAGTGTCGTGGAGATTTCGGAATATGACCAAAACTTCTCTGTGTTTATGTAAAGCAGTGCTTAAAAACATTACGCCCCTCTTATAATTGTACGGCTCTTTGAGCCTTAACGATGAGGCATAACTGACTAGCCAGACTGTGAGTGACTGGGAGTTTTTGTTACAATGGATCAAGTGTACTTTGATGCGGATGGAATACAGTGTTGCAATGTTTTCACAGTGAATGACGTGCGCGTCGAACCATGAGCTGGCCCAGTGTAGGCCTGCAGAGTGGTCCTCGGGGGCATAGAGGAGGGAATTCACTGAGCGGAGATAGGTTATTATACTGCCACTTACTTTGCATCGCACTCTGCACTGGTCTGCAACAGAGTAACCCTGCAGTCTCTAACAACATGTTACACGTTTTCACAGTGATATTATTTGCATGCATTTGCAGTACTATACTTTTAAAATTACCTCCAGACACACGAAATGTGGCATGCTGGCAGTAAGTGTGCCATGTGTTGCCCCTTGCATTCCTCAGCTCATTTGTAACTAGCGTCAGTGGGAAAATCCAGATTTTTGAAATATTGCTGGCTGGGGCTGTACCCCATGGAATCGCCGGAGAGTGGACACAGGGCCCGTAGTGTGCTGCGCACTCCGTAATTAAAGGGTGCCATAGAGCAGGAGTACTGAGGTGAAGTTTGTCCCACTCTGCTGAGGATATTTCAGGCGGTACGCTACACTGACAGAGTTGTAGGGAATGTTCCAGCACTCTGAATCTTCCTATTTATGGGACACCTTGAGTTTTTTTTAAAACTCTCTGTTTGCATGCTTATTTGTTTGTTTATTTATTTTCAACCTCTGTGCTCCATGGGAAAATATTTTACACACCAAGCTGTTTTTTTTTCTTCGTAGTCTGGCCAAAAATGAAGTTATTCTTCAGCATTTACATGACATAATTTTTTTTTACATGTTGAGCTCGATTTGCGATGTGCACATAAGGTTTACATACATGTAATTAGTGAATTAAGCCAGAAAATAGGATGTTAACTTTTTTATTTTTTTAATTTGCACTGAGTACTGTGTCAAAAAGTAACATTTAATGTGCATGCTTATTATTTTTTTTTTAATGAGAGCGCTTAATTGTGCACTTATATCATAAACACAATTCGAAATGCACGTTTAAACAGTTCATCCTCTTAAGAGGGGCTGGAAAAATACAGAAATATATACTCCCAATCCTGCCAAAGACTGGGAATATATTGTGTTATCAGCATTGGAGTTTAATAGCATTCAAGATTTTTCAATACTGATACAGTTCGAGTGCTCCTGTTCAAATTACATGTTTTGTTGATTTTCTAAGTGAAAATAATTTACACATCCTTTACAGGGGACACACTTCTGAACATTTAAATGCACAGTTAGCTGTTTATTTGAAATTAATATATTAAATATATTTTTAATATATAATGCAATGTATTAAACTTAACAAATTAATAGAAATTGTGCACTAATATTTGCAGAAAAAATGCCGTAGTTAAGTTTGTTCCCAAAAGTGGGTTTGGCCAGTTGCCGACAGCATCATGGGGTGCACTCGCTAACTTGGTAAGCTAACTTTGTTCGGTGTGGTTTGGTAAAATCACACTCTTATAAGACATAAATTACTTTTGCATTACATCTTTTAGTTTTTAGAGGGTTTTTAGAGTTTTAAAACATACCATTCACTCCTTTAAGATCCATATATGCAAACTAAGCTGTCACTGGTTTTTGTGATGTCACGCCAACTATTAATTTACTAATATCCACCTAGTCAGCCTACTACAGTTTAGTCCCATTCACAATGAAGTTATAAAGAGTGTTTCAACCCAGACTGTTTTTGATGGGGCACAATATAAGAGAACAGATCAGAACAGAGGTCATTTACAATAGCCTGTTCAAATCTAAGGCATAAAAAGAAGTTGTGTAAAAATAAATTAGGACTGTTTTTGGTGCATAAAACCACAAAAAAATGTTTTAAGTGGACAAAATGAAGTAATAATTTAGGATGTAGACCCTTTGACAGCTTTAATGGAACTACAACATCAGCCAGTTAAGCCAACGTTCATGTTTCACTAAGAAAAATGTTCTGTGCGTAGAAGGCTGCAGCACAGCTTTATGTGTTTTTGGTGCAGGTATTACCACAGTTAAAAAACACGCTACCTTGTGCTGCTACAGAATGTATTAAAACCAGACAACTTATTAGGACTTATATAGGACATGGACTACACATGAAGAGATAACACAGTTTTTGAGACACGTGTTTTCATCAAGCCACAGATGATGCGTTTTGATAGCTATCGCAACGGTTGCGATAGCTGCGGTTGCGGTTTATCTGCATTTACCAATCACCTCAAGCCTTTGGCTTAAAGGAGAAATGAGTGTGAGTGCTGGAAGTGGGTGTATTTATTGGCAGTAACATATTAAATACTAACCAAGAAGCACTGCCATGAATAATAACGGCGTACAGAGTATAATGAAACAGACAAATCACCAGCATGATTATTGGCTCACCAACGCTGATCAGGCCGATTACTTAGGTAGTGAAATTTGGTATTGAATGACACAATTTTTAGACACTATGTAGTGTTAAAGTAATATGGTCATACTATAAAGTAATGCATTTTGAAACCCGGCCCTAATTATCATCATCATCATCGTCATCACATTTCACCGCTTGAGCAAACAATGTGAACAGCTACATGAGTCTGTACTCTTACAAACATCTAACGTGTTTTTGTTTTCTTTATAATTTTGCAGTGGTGATCATGTGCCTCCATGCAGATGTCGTACGAGATGTCATGTTAAAGGCCCATCGGCGAGGATTAACCAACAGCAACAGACTCTTTTTCAACATTGAGCTATTCAACTCCTCGTCCTATGGTAAAGCTAAATCTTTTGCTTATGTGTTTGCTGTGTGCTGATTGCTAAGCATATCTGCATGGTCAGGATGTTCTGCTGCACTGTAGAGTTTGCCCGCTCTGACCGTTGGCACAGTCCACCAGAAAAAAAGTGCAAATCCTCCAGTTCTTCTGCTTGATAGAGATTACATTCAGGAAGTGTTTGGCTCAGCGGAGCAGTGCCCGAATATTGTTTGGTGTGTGCAGGCCATCAAGATGTTCCATTCCAGTACAGGACAATTCCTGTCTACCAAAAACTCACGGTTGTTCCAGACATAATCTCTGCAGTATGAGCAAATAGTCTTTGAAAACCAGTGGCCGTTCAAATGAAATGTATTTTTTATAATTTACTATTTTAACTCACATTCATTCAGAATTGTTCCACAATTTTTTATTTAATTAAGACAACCATCGGTGTTGTTTTGTGTGTTATGATTTTTTTCATATAAAGACAAAGCCTTGTTTTACAGGGGATGGATCTTGGAGGAGAGGAGACAAGTATGACAATGAGGCCAAGGCAGCCTATGCTTTTCTGAACACAGTGACACTAATGAGGTCTACCAAGCCTGAGTTTGTGGATTTCTCTTTAGAGATGAGAAAGTCCCAACAGAAGACAGGTGTGGATGATTGTGAAGGCTGCAATGATGTACGTAAGTCTATGAAACAAATTAGTACAATATGGCTTCATGTTACATGTTATACACTGCAAAATTGTATATTACAGTATTGGCAGACATCATGTCATTGTATTAAATACAGTTTTAAACTCAGTAAATAACTACAAATTGTGTACTAAAACTTGCAAAAAAATGCCATATTTAGTTGTGTTCTCTGTAGAGATGTTAACTTATTTTCACTTTGAAAATCAACAAAACAGCAATTTGACCAGGTTTGTTCAAAGGTTTGCATACAACTGTATGTGCATTAGTTTTCCAGCTGGTAGGTAAGGCGCCATCCACTGAATTTTTATTTTGAGGCATTTAGTTGGATACGAACACTTCATACACCTTATACACGTCTTTTTATTCAGTTACTTATGATACATTGTGTGTCATTTATGTCATATGCCTATTTCCACTTCCAGTAACTAAGAGCCTGGCGGGTCAGGTCAGGAAATACTATTTAATTCATGTAACCACGTAAAGCTTTTCAGTTAGTTTTTTAGTTATAAATTAAATATTTTAAATTGAATTTGAAATAATTAGTTTATCTGCTATGGAATGACTGAAAATAAAAATTGGTCATTATAACAACACTAAAAATGATATTTCACTTTACTGAGCTAGTTTTGTGGTATTTGATTCATGTAGTATTTCTACATTTCTATGAAATCTATGAATTATTAATGTCTGCATGCAGTTGGTAAAGTTCAAAATGGCTTCACAACTAAAAAATCAAGTTTGGATACAATATTTACCATAGTTCCGAAAAAATGAATTACCAACATTAAAACCAACATACTACAGATGTTATTTTATTAATCACAGATGTAGATGACTAGCAAGCACAATATAAAGAAACAGCAAAATAGTAAATACAAACGATGGATTTCCAAAATACCTTTATTCTTCTCCAGGGAGTCTTCTGTCTTCTTATATCTTGTATTGTGGAAGGTGGATCTGTTGTACACAGAATTTCTTTCAGAGGCACTTGAAAGGCACTTAAATGCGTGAAATATAATGCTTGCCAAATACAAAGATATTTGCTTGCTTAACATTGTTAAATGATCGTGAAATACAAACAGTGAAGTCTACTAATTTGTTTCTGTGCCACCCCAACAAGTAGTATTTCAGCAGCCAACAAGTGCTTTGAGAATTTCTTCAACACTGGAAAAGCATCCCAAGTGGCTCCTTATGAAGCTACTTGAGAGAATGCCAATAGTGTGCAAAACTGCATCAAGGCAAGGGTAGAAACTTTGAAGAATCTAAAATATGAGAGTTTTGATTTTTGATTTTTTAACACTTGTTGGTGATTACATAATTGTTCATTTTGTAATTTTGATTGTTTTAATAGTGTTGGCTTTACTATTATCCTAAAACATGGAAAATAGTGAAAATATAGAAAGCCTTTTTGTGAGTATGTCCAAACTCTGTATGATTTCATTTGTGCCTCATTGTAGCACAACAAAATACTCAATACTCATGCTAACCCTTCCAGAGACATTATAGTGATGTCTGAAATTAAAGACAAGACAATCATAAACATATGAACAATCAAACGATAAAATAAATATTCACTCTTAATGTTAGTTTCTTCTCTGAAATCTTATTTTAAAGTTTTGTACTTTGCACAGTTTAGAGCTTTCTCGCTTAAACACAGTATCACTTTATTCTTGAAGGGCTCATTTATTAGGTGATGAGTTGAATTAGGTGTGTTTGAGGAGGAAACACTAAACTCTGCCTTGCAAAGATTCTTCAAGATGAGTTTGAGATGTAGAGAAATTCACATACCATTTATTCTTTTATATGGTGAAAAAACCTATAAATGCAATGTGAAGACAGACCTGTTACTGTCTAAACACCCTGTTGCATAACATATTTTGACAGGAAACTTCAAAACATCACCTTTTTTTCTAACCTTTCTTCACAATGCACAGTCAGTCATTAAGCCATTCAAATGTGCCTGAAACAGAACTCCACCCATTGAATTGCTGAGGCTTGCTGTCAGCTTTTTTATGTAGTTTTTGAATATTCCAAATGCTATATATCGAAAAGGGCATTTTTGAGCAAGAGTGTCTGTTCTGTTTATTCTCTTTCCATCACTCCTCGACTCCTTCTGTTTCCATCCGAGTTTTCCATCTGTGTTTGATTTGGTGAGAGCAAGTGGCGGATTCTCAGACATAGCCCAGTATTCTGAAGACTCCATTCACTTTGTGAGCCCTTGTGAATGCCTGAATGAGGTAACCTGGGGTTCCATAAAGTGCTCGTATGAGTGCTTGCAGAGACACGGCTGTTCAGCCCAGCTCTTTTGTCTGTGGCACGTCAGCTTACTTTGAAAAGCCATCAGTGATTTGTCAGGGGAGGCAGTGGGAGCTGTCATGTCGAAACAAACAGTTGCTGATAAATCGATTCGCTGAGGTTAATAAGCTCAGTGGGGTCCCTGCCACTTTCGACCGGCTCAATTGCTAGATCAACAGGACCCACAGAAGGCAGGAGGTGGCCTCCGGTTGGGGACCATTGGCTGGGGCTAGTGTCCTCAAGAACCACAGCCAGGGACCAACTGCATGTGAACAAAGAGCATTCTGAATCCATATATAAATGTCAAGCCTTCACTGTGCCAGGCACAATTACTTTATTGTACCGAATCCTTAAAGTTACACCTCCCCTGTGAAAATATGGCCTTAGTGGCCAGAAATATAAGCTTGATTGCCAGATCACAAATGTGTCAGTAGCTGGTTTGCTTGTAGAGGAGGCTTGTAGCATCTGTTCGTTTTTGCTGAGTCCGACGTTGTGTGGATGCATACTAAATTACTGACTGGGGTGAAGAATGCTCGCTTTATTCATTAAGGAAGGTGATACATTTTTTCGGATAGGCTTACAGTGGCTCGTGTTCTTATGGGCACCCAAGCCTGTTTTCAGCAATTCATGCATGCTGCCAGGGAATGTAAGCCTGGCCATTTGCACAGTACTCATCACATACGTAAAAGCTGCAGGAGCAATGACACTTTCTAACGTAACTGAATGCTTGATTGTCTGTATGAAAAACTGAGTTCTTCTGTACACACACACACACACACACACACACACACACACACACATATATATATATGTGTGTGTGTGTGTGTGTGTGTGTGTGTGTGTGTGTGTGTGTGTGTTTATATATGTGTGTGTGTATATCGCTGTTGTCGGAACAAAACCTCGTATCTCCATAATGGTAACTTTACAGGAGAAGAGAAAAAAACATACTTTACTTTTTAATCTAAGTTAATGGAACCAGTAATTTTGAGCCGTTTCTTTTGGTCCATTCATCATGAAATTTTGACACAGTGTAAAAGGCAAAAGGTATTTTCAAAGTATGTAAAAAACTGAAAAACAACAAAAAAAAGTCACCGCTGTATGTGTATACACCGATCAGGCATAACATTATGACCACCTCCTTGTTTCTACACTCATTGTCCAGACCCACTTGTCTGAGTGGATCAGACACAGCAGTGCCGCTGGAGTTTTTAAACACCTCAGTGTCACTGCTGGACTGAGAATAGTCCACCAACCAAAAACATCCAGCCAATAGTGTCCTGTGGGCAGCGTCCTGTGACCACTGATGGATGACCAACACAAACTGTGCAGCAGCAGATGAGCTATCGTCTCTGACTTTACATCTACAAGGTGGACTGACAAGGTAGGAGTGTCTAATAGAGTGGACAGTGAGTGGACACAGTGTTTAAAAACTCCAGCAGCACTGCTGTGTCTGAACCACTCTTACCAGCGCAACACACACTAACACACCACCACCACGCCAGTGTCACTGCAGTTCTGAGAATGATCCACCATCCAAATAGTACCTGCTCTAACAAAGTATGCAGAGAAACAGATGGACAACAGTCTGTAATTGTAGAACTACAAAGTGCACCTATATAGTAAGTGGAGCCGATAAAATGGACAATGAGCGTAGAAACAAGGAGGTGGTCACAATGTTATGCCTGATCGGTGTATATATATATATATATATATTATTATATATCTATATATATATATATATCAGTGTATATATTGCTACGCAAATAGCAAAATATAAAATTACCAAAGCACCATTCACTATTATGCAAAAGAAAAAAGTAACAGCTACATACATCAGCACTGCAATCACAATTTTGTGCACTGAAGAGCTGAGAGACAGTTAACATTACCTCAACAGATTTTTATATAGAGGCTATAGAAACAAATAAATACATCGCTGCTGTTGGAAGAAAACCTTGTATCTCCATTTTGTCGTTTTTCAGTTTTGGACGTAATTTGAAAATACCCGTTGTCCTTTACATTGTTTGTAAATTTCATGATGAATGAACCAAAAGGAATGACCCACAATGACTTGGAAAAATGTCTGGTTCTATTGACTTACATTATAAGTAAAGAAGGTTTTTTCCTTCTCCTCGTACCCTTTTGGAGGTACGAGGTTTTATTCTGACAACAGCGATATATATGTATATCTTTCATATATAGGCGCACAGGAACACATACATATTTTTGTATTAATATATTCATTAAATATTTTATTTTTGTTTAGTTATGAAATATGTTTGTTGTGACAGTAGCCATTACTGAGTGTGAGAACAAGCTGAATGCTAAATTTACTCGTCCATCACGTGGGAAAACAAGGTTCAGTCCCGGCGCAGAGGCACACTTTGCTCTTGCCATCGTTCTGATACAAGTTAATCTTGGTTTCATCTGTCCACGAGACCTTTTTCCAGAACCCTGTAGGCTTTTTCAAGTACTTTTTAGTAACCTGTATCTGGTCTTCCTGTTGTTGTGTATTTGTAGTGTAGCCTCTGTATTTTTGTACTTGAAGTCATCTGTGGACAGTAGCCATTGACAAATCTGGAGGGTTTCTGATCTGTTGAACAAGAAGTGAAATGTAAGTTTTCACAATACGGTTAATGATTGATTAAATGTAAAGGAAGCTCGTAACAGCCATGGCAGATGACCACAA